AATAAAATGAAAAGATAAGATATATATTCTAAAAAGAAAAGATAAAAGATAAAAATAAATAAAATTCATTAATAAACCATTTCTAAAGTATTTCTGAAGCATTTCTGAATCATTGTTGAATCATTTGTGAACTATTATTAATTTCAAAGCTAATTATTCATTAATGATCTTAAAATATTGCAAAAACATTGCAAGAATATTGCAAAAGCATTGTTGAATTGTGATTAAATCCATAACTGATACATTAATTATATTATTTGAAGTCACATATTATCCAAAGATTAATTGATTGATTGCATTTTTCAAATTTGAAAAATTATGAAATTAAAGAAATTTATGTTACTATGGTAACAATATTAATAAACTAAAATATAGATATCTGAAATATTATTATGAAATAATTATAAATAGATTAAAATTATATCATAAAGATATTATATTCTGAATAATAAAGTCTAATAAATATTAAAAATTAATAATTTCTCTTCTAAAAGAGAAATAATAGTTTTATTTAAAGATTTATATATCAAGCTTAAAAAAATATAAAATAAAATTATTTCATATTTTAGTAAAGAATAATATATTAATATTAGTTTAATATATATAATATAAAGCTTTTTTAATTATTTTAAATTAATAAGAAAAAATCTTGATTATATTATTCTCTTTAATAGCAGTGAGATATATAATGAACTAGTTAACATTACCTGATAATATATAAAGAAATGACATGATATTGTTGATATGCTTAATAAAAATTTGCAAGATAAAGAATTTATTATTGATTTAACTAGAGCAAAAAAAGATCTCCTATATATTTACAAGAAATGAAATCAATCTCTTGATCTTTCTAATGAGTAGAGTGAGATTTCAGATATTTTAGGAATTTTTCTGCCTCTTGCAATGTCAAAGTTTTTTTCACTTTAATCAATCTAAGATGTTGATGTACATGCTTTCTTTTGATTAGTCTATCAGATTATTTTAAACCAAGTCGTTAATTTAGTGTAACATATAGTAGATTTTCCAACTGATGGTTCAAATTTCCAATAAGTCTTTATACTTGCAACTTTGGATCTTACTATCAACATGGTCAGTTTCTCTGATAATATCAATATCAATTAATGAAAGAAACTCCAGAAGAATTTCAGATAATCATGGAATATTGATATCATTAGACCTTGCTTTCCTAACCAACATATTGATCAATAAATTCACATTGAGATATCTTGTTTCTTTAGAAGACATGAAGAAATAGGAATACTAGTCTATTCTTACATGAAATTATTAACAGATTCAGAATTAACGCAAAATGATGATTCATGAGTAAAGCTTGACTTGAGAGTCTGTTTTATTAATAGATTTTTTTAAAAATTATAGATATTGCCTTATACAATGCTTGTTTCTATTGAGCACACTGGATAAAAGCCTTAGTCACTTTTTAGCTCTCTAAGTATTCAGTCATGAAATGCTAAATACTAATAATTACCGTAAATATATAGCATAAAGTTGTCTACCATCAAAGGATACCTTGCATGTTCATTACAAATCCAATAAGAACTTAGGAAGTAACCATTTAAGGATTCACATACTCTTGCCAAATGACACAATTAGAATTGACATGATAGGTATAGATCTTCACTGTGGATGGATTTGCAATTGGATCAATAGATATTCCTTCCTAGATAAGCATAATAAAATTAATTAATAATTGAGAGAAGACAGAAACAAGTTCATTATCATTTGTTTACTTCAACTTCTGCATTAATCCATCATAATATTTTTATATGGACATCTTAAGGTAAATTACTCATTGAACATAATTCCACAACAAAGTTCGGTATAACTGACAGAAAGGCATCATCTTTATCATCATCTGATAGGCTGTTCTATCTGCAATAAAAATGTAAATTAAAAAAATGGTGCATAACATGCAAACTCTTTATATTTAATAATACTTAGAAACCTGATACTAAGAACAACAGATGCATTAGGTCCTAGAATATCACCGTTAGGTAATGTAAAGGCCCCCTATAATTAATAAAAAATGTCAACATAATGCTTGCGTGATATATCTGTGAACCCCCATAATGTCCAACCAAATTCATGTTGGCAACGTACCAGTTATGAACTTGTGCAATAATTTCTGCTTCTTTTTGATCTGAATAATATTTTTATCTGGTTTTAGCAATATGTAACTTGATAAAACCGTCAAGTAATGGCTTAGCAAGTTATGTACCGGTTTTATTGTGAACTGGAGCCATTATTTCAAGTTGACCTTGGATAAGATTCATTCGATAGAAGCGAGAGTTAGCAAGTGCAATTTCTTCAAAGAGTTGGTGAATACACTTGGAAATGATTAAATGTGGGATATAGAAAGGCATCCGTAAACCTCTCTAATGAAAAAATTGGTCTTTTTGTTCGTTTAATCAGAGTTTTGATTCAATTTTATAATCTTAATACTTTAATAATAAAACATACCGATTTTAATGTCTTTGAATTTTTTCATTGACTTGATATAAAAAAAATTGTGTTAAAGACAATTAAAAATACTTGACACCAAAAGATAAAATGGCATTCGTACTCGGAAGTTAAAAGCAAGAATACCTGGTACCACAACTGAAGAGGTGCAAGTACACTACAAGATATGAAAATAATAAAAGGCACAAGGAAAAGCGCAAGTAATAAAAAGAAAGAAATTGTGTAAAAATGAAGCAGAAGTTCCACGACCTTCCAATTCATTCCTAGTATAGGTTGATCGAACATCTGTGTTATGCAATTGATTTTACCATATGTTCGAGAATTTCTATCACGTGTTTGATATTCATAATAACCAAACTTCCCATTAATAAAAAATATATATTACGATACGAGCGGCCAGGATAGGGGAAGAGACGAAGAGGGAGGGAATAGTCGGCCCCTAAACCTGCCTCGAAAGGCTATGACTACCCCTATTCTCTGTTCCCACTAGGCTCAGCAGTATCACTACCCCTTCCTCCTCACTTTCCGGTTCACTATCTATTTCACCCTTCTGTTTTGCTACCCATAATTTTAATGAATCGAGTGTATCTTCTTTCGGTTGCTTGTCAACTTTTTATGAAAGTTTCTAATTGTGGCATCAATTTCTTCCCAGAGTTCGAGAATAGTGCCAGTATAATTTTTGGGCGTTTTCGAGATACCAGATCCTGAATTACTGCCCCGAGCTACACCATCTCGGACTTCACGGATATATCGGAGATACTTTTTTGTTGTTTTTTGAGCGAGGCAGTCATTTTCGCGTCGAATCGCTTTTCAGTGTTCCCAGAATTGTATCTGGTTACGATATATAGAAATATCATTTGAATCAGCATGAAGCCGGCAAGCAGTAAAAAATCGGGAGTAATTGAGAACATTCTGATAGGTTTTTAGGATTTGTATTTCGATTTTATTGGGTAATAACGAAGCCGATACGATTGAGATTTTGCGGTTATAGATTATAGTGCTTGCTTGAAATTGTAAAAAGCCACGATATGGATTACTTTGTATCTTAGGGTCAGTTCACTGAGACAACGCACGTTTTTATAGCTCGTAAAGTTATATCTCACAGTAAAGGCGATCAATATATCTTAATTTCATAAAACAAAGATGAATTAGCTTAGTTTCTTGCGCATCTCATGAGTATGCCTTCTCTTAACGCGAATTATATCTGGTTTATTCTTTGTGACTATGGCATTGGTTCTTTACTGGTGACCAGATTTCGTACTAATTAATTAACAGCGATCACAATATACGATTTACCGATCTACCCAGTTATCCTTTATATTGACATTTCATGGTATTGGTTCTTTTGTATTTTCATTAATCAAGACAATAAATTTATTAGCGATCCTGAACCTATATCTTTTTTCCAACAATCACGACTATAACCCAAAAAAGATAATGGGACTAAAATGGTTTAGACGCATGTACTGTATATTGCGTATCACAAACTTGAAAAATTAACAGTGGCTATATATAAGATCAGATACATTAATATGCGTCAGAGACACTAGCTCCGCTACATTGTTAAAAATCGCTAATTATAATCGCTACTTCTTTACAGATTTATCGCGTGCCAGACGTGGGTTGAAAGCAGAGGAACTACTTCCCGATGGGGGTATAATTCGATATTTATATAGCAAAAATAATTATATAGATTTAGCGGTTTAAAATGTAAACATATCAGATGATCACTGGTTAAATAAAGATTTTCGTGTAAATATATCAATCGCTTGATTTTTTTTAGCGGAACTGGTATATAGTGCTATTGTAAATATATCAATAAATACGAGATCAAAGTACGATCATGGGCAATATTAAAATTTTCTTGGCAAAATTTCAGCGAACTTTTCATCAAAAAAGTTCGCCAAAAATCACGTGTTTATTTTATTTGAATGCTTGTATAAAAAGTGCTTTCAAAAATGGGATCCGAGATTAACTTTCTTAAACAGGAAAACGCCAGACTTATGGCTAAGATTACTAGGCTTGAGATCGAGAATACTGATGTTAAAGCCAAGTATGATAAGGCTATGAACGAGATTATGAAGCTAAGGGCCGAGCTCAAGAGTAAAATCGAGAAGTTAGAAAAGGATAGAACAGATACTGTTGCTGAAAATGCCAGGCGTGATGATGCAATTGCTAAGCTTAAGGCCGAAGTAATGAAACTAAGGAATGACAATGAGGGGATCAAATAGCAAATCCAAGATATTTCTTCCAAGAAAATTGTTAATATACCTAGCTCTATTGTGGACCAGCTTGATAATACTTCTGAGATTTCATCCAAATCTAAAATCCAGTTTTCTTACACAAGTAAGCAAAAGAAATTGGGGGATAAAGAGACAGATGCTTTCTTAAATGAGGTGCATAAGAAAAGAGTTAGTAATGAGATTAGGCAAAGAAATAGGAAGAAAAAACTTCAGTGCAAATTACCTAGTCAGGAAACTCACTTGATTATCCTGAATATTGCATCTGCTTTTCATGAGCAGAAAAATAAAAAGGACTTGATTCAAGAAATAATTTCATCTAAAGAAAAAAAATGTGAGATTTCAATAACTCTATTTATTCTAATCATATTCTAGCTATTACCAGATAATAGAAATATTATTAATTTATATAAAAATACATATAATATAAAAATAGATATAATTAAAGCTAATAAAGAAGAAATATTATGTTGGTATTTCTATGCTAAAGAATTAAAAAGTATATATAAAGATTTTATGATCAATAATAAAGTTGAAGAAAAGAAGGTAAAAGATCAGATATATAACTTTATTATTAAATAATTATCTATTATCAAGTGCAAAACTTTATGTAAACAAATACAAAAAGTCTTAAGAATTGATAATTTATTTGAAAAAATAGGAATAAACAAGATTTAATATATTAAAATATATAATATGAATATTATTTCAAAATTTACTAATTCTCAGATTCAAATAATTATAAATTATTTCATCAAAAAATCTGATATAAAATTTATTAATAAAGAGAATAATTTTTCAGATAATTTATCTAAAACTAAGATAAGTATATCTACTAAATTAATTTCTTTAGATCCAAAAAATTATTACTTTATAATAGATTCATTCTAAGAAAATAATTAAGATAAGTTAAAAACTCAAAGTTCTACTTTTTCAAAATTACTAGAAGCTAAAATAAGTATATCTATATTTAGTTATCTTGTAATTATCTTTAATAATAAATCTTGATCTTTAATTTCTATTTTATTTGATAAATTAGAAGAGAATCAAAATTTAATTATTAATTAAAATACTAGAGTAATTTTCTTATTTATCTTTAAAATATAATAATAAAAATTATAATTGTTTTAATTTTAATAGTTTAGTATTCTATCCTATATGTAATAAAGATTATAAAAAAGAAAATATAAGATACAATGTAAAGGTAGTAAAGATTATATTAATATAAAAATCTATTATTTTAAATATTAGGAAACTTATCAAAATTTAATTCAAATAATAATAATAAAAGTATAAATTACTAATTTTAAATATTAATATCATTAATCAATTTAACTTGATATTTACTAGTATAATTAATTTTTTCAGATATATATTATTTATTAAATATATAAGAATATTAAATTATATAATTATACTAAGAAATTAGTCAAAGACTAGTAAATATCTAATTATATACTTATAGTATATTCTGAAATAGATTTAATATCTGAAATAAATTATATAATAATTATTCTAGATACAAAATAATATATTATTAATCTTCAATTATCTTTCTATTATTAGCTATATATATTTTACAAACTTCTATATTAATCTTTAATTTGTAAATTTAAAATATATAATATTACTTTAAGATCTATTATAATATAATATAATTTATATATATATTAATAAAAAACTTAATAATTTACTTTATTCTTTATTTTATACTTTTGAATATAATATCTCTTATATATATATATATAATTTTTATTTCTAAATTAGATATATTATTCTCTAAATTATCAGATAAAATATAAACTAATTTCAAATTCTTGTAAAATAATATAACTTTATTATGAATTAAAATTCTTTTATTATAAGAATTAATTTTTATTTTATATAATTATAATTATGATATTTTTAATACAAAATCAACTTTAGATTTTTTGCAGATTACAAAATTATTTAAAATTTTATTACTATCAGATATTAATTTATTCTTACTTTTAAATCAAAAAGATAATTCAAGATTTTTTATGATACTTATAATATTCTTTATTATTCTTTAATATATTTTAATAGATTACTATATTTTATTTTAAGTTTATTAACTAAGCTTTTTCTAATAATATTTTTAGCTGATAATATATTAATTAATATTTTAATCAAGTAAGACTTATAATTTTCTTTATGAATTTTATATTTTATATATATCATCTTGTAATATAATTTATATAATATATTATATTTTTATTCAAAAAATAACTAATAATTATTTACTTATTCTTCAATATTAAATGTAATTATTTAAGAATATTTTATATTTATATAGTATAACTTATAATAAATAATTAGAAATAATTATATCAAGCTTTTTGATATAATTATTAAATATGAAAATAAAATTAATATTATGTATCTTGATATTAACTTTGATATTAACTTTGTTATTATCTTATATTATATTACTTATAATTAGAAAAGATATATTTATTATTTTAAAATTACTAAATTTAGATTTTATCTTAGAATTACTAAATTCAAATTTTATCTTAAAATATTCTAAATTATAATATTCACTTAAATTAATTAGGCTATTCTTCATATTTTTATCAGAAAAATAAGTTAAAATTATATCTTCATCTCTATTTATTTTAATTAATTTAAAAAATAATATTTTATAAAATATATATAATAAATAAGATAATATTTTTATATTATTTCTAATAATATTTTTTCTTTTTCTTCTAAAGAATATTTTTATATATTTGATAATTATAGTAATTAATATTAATTTCTTATTTTATCAATTATAAACTTTCTAAAACTAAATTATATTTGGATTTATTAATAATTATAAAATTAATAAATATTTTATTTAAATATCAAGATAAAGATTTTAATTTTTCTAATTAAAAATTTTTTCTCTATCAATTTAATTTCTTCTTATTACTTTCATATCAATATTTATTATATCAATATCAAGATCTTTTACTGCAAAATATTTTGATTTATATATTTTTATAATATATAAATTTATTTTTTAGATAAGTATTTTACTAATACTATCATATTTAGATTTAGAATTAATTAATACTTTAATAATTATTTTTCTATTAATAAATATATAATCACTATTAATCTTTTATAAATTTTTCTAATTATTTCAGTTTCTATATATCATCTAAACTATAGTAATTTTTAAGATCTTGAATTAGAAGATATATTATTATAAATAGTATTAATTCTAATAAAAAAAGATTAAGTAAATTAAATATTATTAATTAATATATATTAGAAATAATTAATATTTAATTAATTAATTTAGATATACTTTTAAATTTATATTAATAAAATTATATCCTATATTACTAAACAGATATCAGATAAAAAAATCTGAATAACTTTTCATTAATTATTAATAATAGTAAAATTCAAGATTTAATAAAATATTATAAATATGATAGTAAATCTTAATATTTCTTAAAGAAATCATATATTATCTAAAATTAAAAGAAAAAAGAAAATTTTTAAATGATATAGCATCTTTATTTTCATCTAAATCTAGCTTTGAATCTGAGTTTAACTCTAGATCTGAATCTAATAATAATAAAAATAAGATATATATATATTCTGTAAGAATAAAAAAATATAATTAGTAATTAATTCTTATTATAAAATCAAAATAATCTTGTTTTTTCAGACTATTAACTCTTTTTTCTGTAATTTATTATAATATAATTTTGCATAAATAAAGTATGATTATTAAATAAATAATATAGATATTTTTTAGTATTATATAAATATAGATTATATTTTTAGCTTTATGTAATATTATATTATAAAAAATATTTATTTTTTGTAAGTATTTAGAAATTAAATTATAATTTTTTAAGAATCTGTTAAACTATATCTTTTGGCTTATTTAGATCATTTATTTATTTAGAAGATATAATATTTTATATTTAGGTTAGTAATTTTTTAACTTATTCTTGATTTATTTTATAAATCTAAATTTTCTAGAAATATTTAATTGATTTCTATTCTTTATATATTCTATTCTATTAATATTTATAATATGTAAAATTATAAATTTAATAAGATATATACAAAGTATTATCATAATATTTGTAAAAGTTTAGTAAAATAGATATATTATAATTATCTAATCTCTCTTTGATTAATTCTAATATAAAATAATTCAAATAAATAATTTTCTTGAATTTTTCAATAAATTTTTACTAATTTTTTTGAATTATATTAGCTTCTTCTATAATATCAGAAAATTTTATTTCTTCAATTATTTCAAATGATATATTAAAACTTTTTAATTTTCTCTTGATTTGAAAAAGACATGATAAATCAGTATTAGTATTTTTTACTGATAGAACTAAAATATAAGCTTTGACTTTTATATTTCTAATATTAAGTTTATCCTATAAAATTTATTATATTATATATCTAATAGTTTTCTTCTTTATTCTTTTTTAAAGTTTATTAGAGATTAAATATTTATAATCCTATTATAAAATAATAGTTCTCTGAATCTATTTTTATTTTCCTAGATAAAGAATAAAATTTCTACTTGATTCTTATTAAATTCATATTTATTTTGCAAGATTTATTTTACTTTCTTTTTAATGATCTTTTTGTTAAACTTTTTGAAGACTTAGTTATAACTATTCTATAATTATCTTTAATAATATTTATATTTTTAATTTTACCAACTCTCTGATTAAATATTAATATACTTATCTGCTCATTACTAAATTTGAATTCTTTTCAAAAATATTTTTGTGCTTGATTTCTTTTTCTATTATCTATAAGATTTTTGAGAAACTCAGAGATATATTAACTAAGTTCAGATAGACTTATCTTGAAACTGGGATTATATTTTTTAATAATTTTTATTGCAATAACTAACATGATCTAATGTTATAATAATTTGAGTAGTTTATAAATAATTTTTTAAATTATATATACTATAAAAAATATTTTTCAAATTGAAATTAATTATCTATAAATTAATATAACTATATCTAAAAATTTAATAGATTATAATTGATATAATTTTATTAAGAAATAGATATGAGTAAGATATAAGATTGATTAAAAATCTTGAAATCTGTAACTTTATATAATAAATTTATTAAAAATATAGAAGATGTCAAAAAGAATTTAATATTGCTTAAAGAAATTTTAGAAAAAGTAATCAATATATGTTAAATATATAATTATATTTTATATCTAAAATTAAGTAAGTCAAGTATATAATTCTTAAGTATAATAATTT